GCAAGAAATAGTATTTTCAATTTCACCAAGTCATCCATAATGTGCAAATCTATCAGAGCATAAATTTAGCTATGAATCCTCATATATTCCTTCTGAATTTCAGTCTTCCATGTATTCTGTATACCTGATCACTTCAAATAAAAGTTCAGCCACATATCTAGGTTTAGTTTTTCTAGCTCTGTGTATGTGTGTGGCAGGGGCAGGGGGTAGATGTGTGTGTGTGTTTGTGTGTGTCTGTGTGTGTGTGTGTGTGTGTGTGTGTTTCACTTCCACATTTTTAAAATTAAAAGATCCTAGCTTATACTCATATGTGCATTTAAGTTGAAAAACCTAAAAATAAATTTTGTTACTGTAGATAGTGTTTTCTAAGCTTATACTACATCTTATGCAATAATATACAGAACAAATAACGTATATGATTAAATAGAACACACATATGATCTTTACCTTGAAATTTAGAAATTATCTGTAGACATGTATACAAGTACAGAAGTAATTGACACAGTATGCATACTATTATATACTATGTAACATATAATGTTATATAATGTTAGTTTAAACATGGACCTAGAAAAAACATAAAAAATAATTGGAAATTTTCATTCATTATAAATCCATACTTAACGAGAAAGGATTATTTTTAAATAAATATGAATATTATGGATCCTTTTCTGAAATCAATGTTAAAGACACACAATAGTATGAATAAATATTTAAATATTAGAATGCAACTTCTGTGTCTTAAACACACCACTGATTCAGATTGGTAATGATGATCTTGGATTTTTTTTAAAGAATATTAATCACATGAAATAATATGGAATTTTTCACTTGTGGCTATGACCTTGGCACTCAAAAAGTATTTTGGGTAATTTCTGTTTTATGACCATTTATGATGTGAATGAAATTCTTTGACAACAATAATGTGATGTCTGAGTCTAGATTTAGTCAAATCAGCAATCTAAACTTTGTTCAGTCATGTTAGTGGTGAATGATATCATTCCATATTGCTATATTTATTTTGATAGATGAGTCAATAAGCAGGATATTCAGTCACCAATGATTTCGATGACAGGTTTCTTAGTTTAGCCCCAATCAAGAAGAAATTGAATATTTTTTAATATGTGTCTTGATTACTTGAATTTAATCTGTCAGAGTTCAGAAGAAAATGGGCAATCAAGGCTTAGAGATAAATAAGCCTCATTAGCATGTTTTCACTTTTATTATTATTTTCTAGTATTCTTTCCTTAACAAACAAGCACAGGTTCTACGGTGTCTTGTGAATTATGACAGTAATTGCTCAACAGAAACGTGAGTAGAGGAATGAGATGGTTCTAAAGATACTGAAGTATTGTCAAAGATCACACACATGCACACACACACAAGTCCATAAAGGCAACGAAACTTTTGTACAGAATTTAAATTACTATTACATTTATGTCATACTTTAAAAAAAATCGCATGTATAAATTTTACCTATAAAATTCAGTGCTTTAACAAATATTTAAAAAGAGCTTTAGTGAATATTGGGGAAATATTTTATTTATTCCTCAAAATAATGTCCATAATTTGGGAATGTAGTTAATTTGGTAAAATTCTTGCCTGATGTGCACCAAACCCTGGATCCTGAGCACTGCAGAGCAGCACATGCTAGTAGTACAAGAATTTTGGGAATGGAGGCAGGACAATCAGAAGTTCAAGGTCATCCTCAGTTATAATGCCAGTTTGAGGCCTATCTAAGATACACAGCCCCTTCACAAAACAATAATAATGATAATGATAATAATAATATAATCTTTCTAAACGGAAGAAAATATTGTTGATGAATCAAGACAAATATCAAAGTTGACTTAATTTTTCTTTATTAATGATTGTCCAAATGAGTCAACTAAAGCACGTAGTGAAAGACATCCAGCCACTGTAACCTGAAACCAACATACACAGAAACCAAGAAATGTTTTATTTTTTTTCCCTTCAGTGCCATACTAAGCCCTCATTTAGAGGGAATAAGGTGTGCAATCAAACATTTCATCAAGAAGGCATATCTCTGTGAGTTCGAGGCCAACCTGGGCTACCAAGTGAGTTCCAGGAAAGGCACAAAGCTACACAGAGAAACTCTGTCTCAAAAAAAAAAAAAAAAAAAAGACGTTCTTAAGTCACAGGTATGCAGTAGGCAACTAGCCTCCTACACCGACCATTTGTCAACAAAATATTATAAAATTTGATCCTGAAAGTATGAGTTCTTTTCATAATATACCAAATATCAGCACAAATACAATTACAATTCTTTATATGTTGAAATAAAATGTTGGTTATAGCCCACACAAGAAGCATCATATATCCATTGAATTACAAATGGTTTGTTTGGAAGAGTGTGTAGTTTGGAATCCATAAATTAGAAACATATACCATTAATGGTAAAAGTAAGTATTAATGCCTATCCAGTTCCTATTTCTATGATTTGGGACATGATGATACATTTGAATTCTTAAGTGCACATACTGCTTTAACTAGTGTTTTAGTATCTCATGGGACCTACTTATAAACTGTCACAAAACCAACAATATAGAGCTTTGCCATTTCAACTTATTCTTTTGAGTGTAAGAATATTCTGAAAACACACACACACACACACACACACACACACACACACACACACATATATATATATATATATATATATATATATATATATATAAAGTTTCTTTAACAAATTGTGTTTTCCAAAATGTTTAAGAACATTTAAAAAATAAAGGATTTAAACATTAGATGTTGAAATACACATTCTTCACACAGAAAAGAAGTGGAAGAAAAAACTAGTTTGTATATAGACACACTTTTAATGTTTTTAAAGAGGTATGTCCAATAAAAATGCTTATGTTTAAATAAACAGTGAGTTTAGCAAAAGATTCGTTGCTCTAAATATGTATGGGAACACATGGTTGGGTAGAAATGGTGTTCTAGAGTGACATTTCATGTGCTCTTAATGTCTAGTTATCCTGGAGGCAGTTGGTGGCTTTTCCTTGAACTTTATCATGTAACTAAGCTACATATTTAGTTCTTATAGTATGTAATCCTGGATAGCTTAAATGGGGGAAGGGAGGGGATTCTCTAGTTATAGGTCCCATATTCCTTGACTGGGAGTAGAAACATTTCACTGAGATGAGGAAGGGGGCTTAATTCTTCCATTGATGCACACATTTGGAAGACTCGGACAAAACTAGAGTTCAACAGGACTGACAGGATAGATAAGGAATAAGCACCCTGTCAGAGCAAAGGGAATCAAAGGTCCAGTAAAGAGGACTCACATACAGCAGGAATCCTATATAGCCTTTTTTTGGCTGGCATGTCTGGGAGTCCCAGATAGGATCTTAGTGAAGAGCAACTGTAGGTTTCCACCAGGTCAGCTCTTATCTCTGGGGTGGCGGTGGGAGGGTAGGGGATGGGACAGGAGGTATGATCTTCTACCCAAGAAGAGCCCCTGAAACCTTGCCCCTCCCTTTGTTGTGGAAGTGAAGTGCTGGGCTGGGGGATGGGAACGGGTGACATAAACTTGTCCTAGCTAGCTATGCATTTCTTGCTCTTTAAGCATGAGAATGGATCCCTGTGTCCTTTGGTCCTGTCTGTCTTCAGTGAGAATGCCAGCAGAGGCAGCAAAAGAGGCATCTTACTGCCTCCATCACTTGCCTCCAGCCAAGGGTCCATAAACACTTCTGAATGCGGGATGATCTACCTTCTTTCTCTGACTGATCCATACCTTTGTGCGACTCCCAAAAGCACACTGCTTTTATTCTCAAATTTACAATCCCCCCACTTCTATGCATAAATTTAAGATCCACCTCTCCGGAGCCCTTTCATTCTTTTCCTTTCTCTAAGTTGGAATATTTACTTATTCAGTAGAGAAATCCGGGAACTTTGCACCTCTAAACCAGGATTCTAGAAAGTCTAAGGATAGAACTTGTGAACTCAGGAAGATAGACACAGCCTAGGGAATGAGCAAACTCCCACTCTGCTGTATACTGAGCAGAATTTCCCTTTCATCTTGTGGCCAGGTGAACCTGGGCGGCTACACTGCTGTGTCTTGGAGTTGGGAATACCCCCTGCAAGTTAGTCTGCTTCCATTCATATCCATCAGATCTGGAGAGCTCCTCTCCAGGTGCCCGCCCATTCTTTCCATCTATAGCCTGGGTCCTTTGAGGACAGTCGGTACATCCCTTTAAAATACCTATCGAATCACCGAAGAAGTTTTGTCTTTCCTCTCACTTCCCCGCCCAGGTCCACACTGTTTGTCCCCCAAGTCAGACCAAACATCTCTCAAGAAGAAAGTAAGATTCCATAACTTTGCCTCCACGGACTTTCCTGCAGCGAAGAGCAAGTGCACCAACAACGCACACTTGCCTATACACAGGCACAAATACACGGTCCGGGAAAACAACAGACGGGGCAGCTAGCCAGTGGGCAACTGTTAAGAGCACGTTAAAGTCCTTGCTATAGCCAAAAGGAATGCGCTGCGCTTAAGAGGCATCAAAGGAGAATTTCGAAATGGGCTTGGGGAAAGAAGACCAGGAAATGGTGAATATAAACACACAAAGGCAGAGAAAGATACCATTTACACCTGCTGTCAGCACACAGCAGTTTTCCCGAGAGGCGCACAGTTTTGAGAGAAATCATTGTGGGTTGCACTGAATGTAATAAATACCCAAGGCTTATATATCTTTGGAACTGACACTCCCTGTGTTCTATTGGACTTTCTTGCTGTGGTCACCATGAACCCAGCGCACTTGAGGATGGGGATTCTAGGCGCTTCAGAGCCCTCACCTCGGTGTGCAGAGTACCCTAAGCAGGTGCCAAGCGCTCTTTGGGTCAAGCAACAAGCGGACTATCTGGGGAAGGCCAGCTGCCCTGGTACCCGCGCGGGTCACCTCTCCCCGCCCCCATCCCCAGCAGTCTGCCGGGCCACTGGAGCGGAGGAGAAGGAGAAATCCGAGTTAGCCACTCACCCCTAGCTTCCTGCTGCGGATTTTCACGTAGCCCTGCTTGACTATGTCGTTAAAGTTGGAGGCCATGGCCAGCGCGGTCGAGCTCCTCTGCTGGGCGATCCACTCCTTGGAGTCGACAACCGCTGTCCACCGCCCGGTCCACGCAGGTCTTGCATCCAGCCGGCCGTCGCCGGCAGTCGCGCCACCGCCAATTTCTCCCCAGGCTCCTGCCTGCGCCGACCCAGGGTCGATAGCAGGGCCGCCAAGCGCCGGGACTAGGGAATCGGGCCCGGAGCTGCTCAACAGCACCAGCACCTCGCGAGCGGTCGTCACCTTCGCCCCCGGCCACGAGCGGAGCACCGAGGGCCGCGCCGACCCCAGATGTGCCCCACCTCCGCGCCGCCGCCCCCGGCAGCACCCACGGGCTGGCGCCTCACTCGGCGGCGCACAGCTGGCCGGAGCGCACCATCGCGGCTCCCCGGCGCGGAGGAGGGGGAGGGACGGCGGGGCGGGCCGTTGCGCCCGCTCGGCTCCCTCCCCCTTGCCCGCGGGGTGGCAAGGCTGGAGGATCCTGGCAAGATGCACTCCATCACTCACTTCTCCGACAGGGAGCTCCGCCTGCCACCCGCGCCTAGGGTACCGCTCCCACCAGAGCCCTGGGCTGGCACCACTCGCCCAGGCGTGGATTCCTAAGGACAAGGATCCTCATTCCACCGCTGCTGCTAATCTCGCCATCCCAAGCTGGGCAGTGGGGACAGAGCAGTGGGGGACTTCACAGGTTCGCAGAAGGCAAAGAGGAGCGAAACAATTGTTTATTTTAGAAATGGCATCTATAATACATTTTTAGTTCTAGGCACACGTGGCCTTTCCAGGTCTTTGCCCTGTTGGGAAGTGTAAATCGAAGCCAAGCCCTTCCTGGAGCACACACAAAGAGACCAACCCTGCGCATGTGTCTAATCCTCAGGCTGCTGAAGTCAGAAGGAATCCGGGAGGCAGCAGGTCGCAGATGTCCTCTACAGAAAAGGCGGTGATGCCTAGATTGGCAAATGCGTTTTAGTTAAGTAAGGCTCAACGTGCTACTGGCATTTCATCTATTCAGGAAATAAAAGGGAGAAGGGTTATCCGTGTATGCGCTGAAATGTTCAACTTGTCAAAATCAAAGGAATAAACTTTCTCCTCTTAGTCTAGGAAAACATACTAAAATGTATGTTTTTCTCTAATATAAAGACATAAAAATTTAAAGTTATATTCTTTTAAGTGATTTAAGGATAAGGAACATTAAATATTGGCTAGCAGAAATGTATGGATATTTAACTATAGTCAAGAATGTTGAATGTTTACAGTTTAAGTAGATAAAGAGGTTGATAGTTAAGAAAAAAAGATGTGCAAAGATTGATATACATTGGTGCTTCTTCATCTGTGAGTAATTTATATTGAACGGATCTTCATAAGACCTCGTTTAATTCTGCTTTACATCACAAGTATTTTTTCTAGGTTCTCATTTAAATTGTCTTTTCTGTATTTGGATCATAATTACTTAAGGGAGATACAAACTAAATTTGAGGGAAGAAAAATAATGAAAGCCTGGAGAACAAGGTTACACGCCTTTCACCCTCAGTCAAAGGGGCAGCTGTAAATGGGCACATGGGAGATGCTGGTCCCATCCCTACCAAGAGACCCCATTTAAATCTAGTAAAGCACAAGGGGCATCCTAACATGCCCTAACAGTCAGTACACATTCCTTCTACTTCATTTATTTGGTGACTCTCCTCAACTCTATTAGTCTTTTACCCCTCCCACAATGCAAGCAAACTACAGTATACCAGGGTGAATGTTTAAAATAGCACCCGAAATTCCAATAAGTTTTTACTATGAAAGGGGATAAATTTCGGATTTCCCCAGAAAATTTACACGCCTGCTTTCATTAACCTCCGTGGCTATCTCCTTTAAAAATTGAGTACTTTTTTTTCTCTTCCATTCATTTTTACTAGTTACACATATTTCATTTTAAAATATGATGCAAAGAATGCCTCACACATTTCTAAATACATTTTTCACATGATCCTCTTTGCAAGCAGAAATGTCAAGTGAAGCATTCTCTCTACTTATTAGGAAGAATGTTAAGGCTCAGAGGTGTTCTGTGACTTGACAACCATTTCAAGGCTATCATAAACACTTTTATTTACATATCAACCTTTGTATTAGTTGCTTTTCTCATTGCTGCAACAAAATACCGACAAAAACAGGGCATATAAAGTTCTTCATGACAGTGAGGGCATGGCGGCCATGTGATGATGCTAGTTGTTCAACACTGCATCTGATCACTTCACGTGGGAAGAGGGAGGCAGTTCTTAGCTTTCTTCTTCTTCTTCTTCTTCTTCTTCTTCTTCTTCTTCTTCTTCTTCTTCTTCTTCTTCTTCTTCTTCTT